TGATGATCCAGTTGGTGATGGGCTCTGGTTTGCTCCGGGTCTCTCCTCGCGAGCGGCCTGCGGCAGCCCTGGGTGGAGCGCCGCCCCCGTTTGGCCTGGCCCGCGCTGTGGCTGGCTCGCCTCCGAGGAGGCCGTCTGGGCCCATCCTGCGGGGCTCGGCCTCGGCCCGCCTGGCCTCTCCCGGGCGACGTTCCAGGAGGGGCTGCGCCTGATCTGGGCGCTGAAGGGCTTCGACGCTTGCGCCGAGCAGCGCCGCGAGATGGCGGCCCTCCCCACCGATGCGGGGGCCGCGGCTTGCGACTGCACCGACCACCTGTGCGCCCTCGGCTACTGCCAGAACCGCGGGCAGCTGTGCGGGGCCGTGGCCATGATCGTGAACTATCTGTCCCGTCATCCCAGCGCGCCGGAAGCGTTCGCGACCGCGCTCCCCTTCGAGATCTACGGCCGCCCAGGCGAGATCCATTGGCGGCGGCTGCAAGACGGGGTGCCCCCAGTTACGCCGGCATCGGACACCCTCCGCTTTGGCTGCGGGGTGCTGCGCGCCAGGAGGGTCGGCGACTTTTCGGAGACAGGCGAGTTCGACGTCGCCGTGCGGCCGGGCCTCGATTGTTCAGTGGGCCTGCGCGACTTCGAGCAGATCCACCGCAGGGGCCGATTGGGGTCGGGGAGATCCGTGAGCTGGCGCCGAAGGGGCAGCAGCCTGGCCGAGCTGCGGGCCACGCTGCTCGCCACTCAGCTCCGCCCCGCGGCGGCCCGCGCGCGCCTGCTGAGCGAGTCCAGGCGCGACCTGCGCTTGCGGCTGGCCCGTGCCTGGCCGACCCGCCAGCGGTGTTAGGGGGTTTTCAGGATCGGGCGGGTTTGCGCGCGCCGTCGCCGCCCAGGGCGTGCTGGCGCTGATGTGGGATGCCGCGCTCGGTGAAAAATATGACTCGTCGCGGCCTGCGAATCGTTCTCTCATTCTCATCGCGGGTTTGCGCTGGTCGCGCGAGAGGTTGGCGCGCGGGCGCCCGTTGCATCCCACTCGCACGCTGTCGCGACCATGGTGTTGGAGCACCGCCTGTGCGCTCTGAGTCCCGGCTCCTTGGCCTCCCTTCTCTCGAGCCATATCTGCAGGCCATTGCTGAAATCTCAAATTGTCGCAGTAGTTTCATTCCCGCCCTC